AGTTCTATTTCACTAATGCGCGTAGTTAGTTTTTTTTTTTGTGGTTACCCTACAAGAACGAGGGTCTCCAGTTTGCGTCCCATTACCGCAAAAACCTTCACTTTGCTTTAACTTGTAACTATTCGGCCGGTCAACAGTTGGCAGTAGGTATTATTCACTGCCTGGCTTCTCTCTAGTCTATCAGTCCAAAAACAGGGTTGGCTTTGAGCAAATAGCCCTTGTGCATGAGTGTAAATAATTGCTAAAACTGGGGATGACAGGCTTTACCATTATCCAAGACGGTCCTTAAATGCCAAAACGAACCGATTCACTTTGTAATATGCTATTATGAATAGGCAGCATACACGAGTATGAACATTTTCATAGTTTCATTGATATTCTTCTTAAAGGCACAACAAAATTTGGGTTTTGATCCAGATTCCACCAGTTTTTGTCACAAATTCTGATTGGATTTGTAGCGATAATATAAAGTTCCCTAACTGAAATTCTCCCAACCTTTCAAAAGTGGACTTACCATATTAGCAATATAAAAATATCTTAGGCTAAGTTAGAAAACATTGTCTTTCATTATAAACTGATCCGTGGATATTTCTTTTACCCATTTTGTATTAAAGTTCTTTTTTTTTCTTTCAGTCAATTTATCACCCTTAACACCCTCTCATGTATCCATTTATTCGTATGTAACCTTGTAACCCTTAACACCTTCTGCAGCATCCATTTATTCATCAGTTACTTTGTAACCCTTAACACCTTCTCCAGTATCCATTTATTCATAAGTAACTTTGTAACCCTTAACACCTTCTCCAGTATCCATTTATTCATAAGTAACTCTGTCACCCTTAACACCCTCTGATGTATCCATTTGTTCATCAGTTACTTTGTAACCCTAAACACCCTCTGTATCATCCCTTTGTTCATATGTCACTTTATAACACTTAGCGCCTTCTGCAGTATCCCTTTATGTGTCACTTTGTCACCCTTACTGCCCTCTGAAATATCCATGTTCACCTGTCACTTTGTTACTCTTAACACCCTGTGCAGTATACCTTTGTTCATAAGTAACTTTGTTACCCTTAGCACCCTGTGCAGTATACCTTTGTTCATAAGTCACTTTGTTACCCTTAACACCTTCTCCAGTATCCATTTATTCATCAGTTACTTTGTAACCCTTAACACCTTCTCCAGTATCCATTTATTCATAAGTAACTTTGTCACCCTTAACACCCTCTGATGTATCCATTTGTTCATCAGTTACTTTGTAACCCTAAACACCCTCTGCAGCATCCTTTTGTTCACCTGTCACTTTGTAACCCTTAACACCCTCTGTATCATCCCTTTGTTCATCTGTCACTTTATAACAGTTAGCACCTTCTGCAGTATCCCTTTATGTGTCACCCTTAGTGCCCTCTGAAATATCCATGTTCACATGTCACTTTGTACTCTTAACACCCTCTGCAGTATCCCTTTGTTCATAAGTAACTTTGTTACCCTTAACACCCTGTGCAGTATACCTTTGTTCATAAGTCACTTTGTCACCCTGTGCAGTATACCTTTGTTCATAAGTCACTTTGTTACCCTTAACACCCTCTGCAGTATTCCTTTTGTTTATCAGTCACTTTGTCATCTTAACACCCTCTGTAGTATCCCTTTGTTTATCCAACACTTTTTCACCCCTAACACCCTTGCAGTATCCCTTTGTTTACCTATCACTTTGTCACCCTTAGCATTTTGTTTGTTCATTTCTGAGTTTTATTAGAGAAACACTTAAGCATTCTTTATGACAAAACAACTTTAAAAATCAAATTGAAAGATATTTACTAGTATTTCACGTTTAATTTATTGCCATCATTTCTAAGCTATAATCTTTTACTTCTAATTATGAACAGCTAGAAAGGATCGTGCGAGAAGCATGTAACCATACTCTTGCCGTGTTGTCCCCACCAGTGTTAACTTGACATTAGGTGACAAACATATAAATTAAAGAACAAATGCAGCAGTAAAAATTCAATAAATTATTTTACCAATCACAATTTCTTTTTCCTATTTCTGCAGTTGGTATATATATAGTTTCACCAATCATTAACTGCAGCCTTGCAACAAATCTTATGATCTGTTTACTCAGGGTTAAGATAATATTCATTATCTGTTTAATCAGGGTTAAGACAATATTCATTATCTGTTTAATCAGGGTTAAGACAATATCGTGATCTGTTTACTCACGGTTAAGACAATATGATCTGTTTACTCAGGGTTAAGACAATATCATGATCTGTTTACTCAGGGTTAAGACAATATCATGATCTGTTTACTAATGGTTAAGGCAATATCATGATCTGTTTACTAAGGGTTAAGGCAATATCATGATCTGTTTACTCAGGGTTAAGATAATATGATCTGTTTACTCAGGGTTAAGACAATATCATGATCTGTTTACTCAGGGTTAAGGCAATATCATGATCTGTTTACTCAGGGTTAAGACAATATCATGATCTGTTTACTGAGGGTTAAGACAATATTCATTATCTGTTTAATCAGGGTTAAGACAATACAGTGTATTACAAGTACAACAATGATTTGAACCTATTTTGTACGATTAACATTACAATTTCCTGAATCCACCAAGACTTGTAGGACTGATTATACATTTAACATTAGTGATTGGGTACATGTTTAATATTAGTGAATGATTACAATGTTTAACATTATTGATTGATTAAACTGAATGGCCAGGGACAACCATACATACATTTTAACAAAATGTAGGATAGACTAAAAAAATTTCTTAAAAGGCAAAATGAACAACACTAATCTCCATGCTCAAACATCTTCCACCTGGTGGATGTTAGTTTAGAAGAAGTCATCTACAAAGGGGTCAGTTTTGCTAGGAAGATTTTTCTTCTTCTAGGCTGAAAGGAGTGGATGCTTGTTTATAATGAATTCATTTCAGTCTGTTTACTTTTAGCTGATCCTTTCATATTTTTACTAAAAAACGGTTATGGTGAAGAGTGTACAGAGGAGAGATTGTTTTAAAGATTACTTCAATAAGGTGTTTTACTCTTGTGAAATACTAAAGCAGGATGGGAGGGAATGGATAAAAATTATGAATTTTTCTTGTTGGACATCATTTCCAGACCAAAAATATAAAAATTAGTCAGTTAAAATTGGAGTGTTTCCAGTAATTTCATTTACTGTTTTGACTGAAAAATCCTCATCTTCTAGGTGATCTTTTCACAGTATTGGTATGTTCAGAAGGTCTTGGCCTGAGATCTGAAGCTGAAACTAGCAATGCTAGTTGTCTGTGCTTGCAATGTCTTCTCTACGTCAGCTGAATCTTCCAATTATATACCAACATACATTATCACCAACGTTTGATGAACCTTGAATAACAAATCATAAGACATTCCCTCCATTTCATGACTACAAATACTCTTGTAGATCTATTTGTTTTTAAACTTTTACTGCAGTAAGATATGTTATACAAGTCTTGTTTTTTTCTTTTCATATGACTTGGTTTTTGCAGAATTCTATCCATCTTCAATGGATCTGTTTGCAACTAGTTTATGTGGAGCTTGTAGTTAAATGTGTTAAATTGTATGAACAGAAAAAAATTAATAAAGATAAGTATGTTGTGAACATTGCTTTCTACAAAAACAGCAACAACAGTGTAGCTGTGGTTTAACGAACTAGGGTTAACCTGATGTAGTTTTAACAGCAACAACAGTGTAGCTGTGGTTTAAAGAACTTGGGTTAAACTGATGTAGTTTTAACAGCAACAACAGTGTAGATGAGGTTTAAAGAACTTGGGTTAAATTGATGTAGTTTTAACAGCAACAACAGTGTAGCTGTGGTTTAACGAACTAGGGTTAAAATGATGTAGTAGTGTTTTAACAGCAACAACAGTGTAGATGAGGTTTAAAGAACTTGGGTTAAACTGATGTAGTTTTAACAGCAACAACAGTGTAGCTGTGGTTTAATGAATTCGGGTTAAACTGATGTAGTGTTTTAACAGCAACAACAGTGTAGATGAGGTTTAAAGAACTCGGGTTAAACTGATGTAGTGTTTTAACAGCAACAACAGTGTAGCTGTGGTTTAACGAACTAAGGTTAAACTGATGTAGTGTTTTAACAGCAACAACAGTGTAGTTGAGGTTTAACAAACTAGTGTTAAACTTATGTAGTGATTATGTACAATAACATATTATCACACTTAGAAAATTTATATTTTATTGTAGACAAATATTAATTTTCCAAATATTTTCTTTATAAAGTTTATATCTTTTATAAGAATACCAAGCTTATCAGGTAGAGGAATATGAAAACACTGCTGACTGATTTTGACAGCTTCAGGTTCAGAACTGAGGGAAGACGAAATACTGGCTTAACAGTTTTAAATTTGCAAGTTCTTCTGATACATCTCCATTATTTAATTTTCATGAATACATGGACATAAATCTTGCAGTAGCATCCCATAAAATTCTAGGAAAGTTGATCACATATATATTATGTACAGATCCTAAAACAATGAAGAGGAAAGAAAGAGTTTTTTAATGCACTGTATGTAGCGACATCATTCCAGTAGAGTCAAAAAGGCATGAATGACTAATACAGGATCTAAACAGTCCCATGGTTACGTTCACCTCAAGTATACAGCAGATTAAGATACTTTAAAAAAGTAAACAAGAATATCTAAAAAATCAGATATAAATTTTAAGTAATTAATAAAAGGAAAAATCTCTCTGGACATTTACTTTTTATCCCAATGCTACTGACAGTACTATCCAAAGAAAGCCAAGCCTCCTAAACTTCGTAATGACAAAGACAGCGAGAGCCAATCGGGAAGCCTTAGAAAGAACTTTAGGGCTGAAAAACAAAGCTATAAGAGATAGCCATACTGGCCTTTCCCGTGTATTATCATTTGTGGGTTTGAAAATAGTATTGTGTAGGGTCATCCACATGGACTTTAGAAGATCTTCAGATTTGTCACTAGCCATGTATCAGCACTTTTATTCCGAATGAATGTGGTTTTTGAACTCAAAAAACTTGTTAGTCTTCACAATTCACATGAAATTGGGTCCCTGTTCAAGTCCTGAAAGTGAAAGATTTCTATAATCATGAAAAATACATTTAAATTTGAAACACATATATGGAACTGTAATGAAATAAAAACCAGAACACAAATGGTGATACTCTTTCAGTGTGTGCAGATGTATATTAATACATAATTATTACTGATCTATATATATATATATATACTATGTGGAAAGTCAGGGTATCAAAAATTTCATCTGTACACAAAGATGCGAGTCAAAAATCTTTTACTCAGAAATTTGTAATTTCTGACATGTTTTTATAAATTTTTAGCATTATTTGCAACACCCCAATATTTAATTGCTGTGTTTGTTAAATATTAAGCAAAAAAGAAAAATCTTTAATTAAAAATTTCTTACTGCCTCATCATAATTACCTCAATTTTTCTTGTAGTTTTACGTCACTATTTCTTTTCTACTACTCACTCTGTTATTAGCCAACCCTGTCAAATACTTATAGTATTTTGGCACTTGTGTATAAAGTTAAAATCATAAATAATATTCAACGTTAAACTGGTACACAATGAAAAACATTAATAATAAAACATAAAAAAGATCATGTAGTATTAAATAGAGATGAAGGTTTGGCGAATATATCTGCAAGAATGTGGATTGATCTCCTTTGAAATGGTTTAGCATGAATGTATGAAAAATAACATACAGGTCAATGACCTACTAACAAGTTATAAATACTTTGGCAATTGTCTTGAGGATGACGTTGTAACGTCGAAACATGTAGAGTCGTCAACTTTTTGAAGGC